TTTTGCAGATAATACCTTATATAATTTAAAGGTATACTTTTACAAGTCAAATGTTCATGTATTTTTTATTATTCCTTACTGTTATTTTTCAGCTTTTATTTCAACTGTTTTTAGATGTATACGAAAATTAAATGGGATGATCAAAATATTGATTTTACGATCAACCACCATCATTGGAATATAGAACATTTTGTCCTCGTCAATAAATTTAACTGATGGACATTTCATTCCTGGAAATTATTAAAATAGAACATTTGTTCCCTGGGAGTTATAAGCCATTGGATGTTTATTTCCCAGCGTAGGTATATTGATTATGAGTTTTTCGGTTGGCCCCTAAGAGCCTGTTTTACAATCATAGTTTAAACCTCGGTTACGCCTAACCCACTGATTTTACCGGCCAAATTTGGTGGTTTTACCTTAGTTAAACGATTGTAATACAGACCCTTAGTGAAAAATAATAATTATTATTAAATCATTATTTTTCTGAATATCTTAAATTGTTCTATTAGAATAAGAAAACTACAATAATATAAATACCTAAAATATAATTACAAATAAGTATGCCTTATATTTTACTACCCATCTAATATCTACTGCTGACAAAAGTCAAAAATAAATATTTAATAAAACACTTGGAAAATCTGACCTGTAGTTAGCCCAACTTCAACTCTAAATGTATATCATTTCATTAAATACTGAAACGGGTTTTTTTTATGTGCATCAAAAGTTAATAATATAAACCGAACCAATAAAATATTTTGTACTCGCTTCTATTGTAAACATAAAAAATATTATACATGTATTCTATACGGTAATAGCTTTTGAATGTTAGTGTAATTAGGTGTTTAAATAAATACAGAAAAAAAATTTATCGAACAAGTAAAAATTTAATTGTGACAAAAAAAATTAAATTAATTGCTTTGCACAGGATTCAAACATTGAAAATAATGATGCTAACATTCTAAATTACTTTAAAGTAATTGGTGAGTTTTCCTGTGTTATACAACGTGAGTCATGAGCTAATATATCAACTGTTGATTATTTGTAATTATATTATATTGATCTGTATTATTGTAATTTTTGTATAGTAAATTATAATTTAAGGAATTGAGAAATTTATTACAATTATTAACTTATTTGATTATGAAATAATATTAAATTAATTTATAAAACTATTAATTTCTTGTTTTAATATATTTTTTAATGATTTAATATACCAATACAAATGCATCAGGGTGCATGGTTGACAGTTATGCTGGGTCATATGGTTAATAACTTTCATTGATTAAATGTAGACCAATCTTAATATTTGCATAACAAAACCTTCCTGAACTTATTATTTTGACTTGAAAAGACACCCAATATTACCCTATATTGAGTATTTTATAATTGTTAAAATCTGATCTATATAAGACAGCACTTAATATTACGGGATCTGTTGAGAATGGTGCCATTAAGAATGCTTTTGATGATCTTAAAGAATGTTATAGTTGAAATAAAATGTAAATTACTGTTTTGCTTTTTAAGTTATTACCATGTTATCAGTGGCGGCTCCTGGGTTTTTATTGAAATTTGAAGTAGTACACATCCAAAAAAAATTAACCAATTGTATTAAATAATTGTTTACAAATTTTAGTTGTACCAAAGCCGGTAGGCGTAGGGAACTTCTAGAGCGTTGGGCGGCGTATGCGTAAAAATTCAGAATTCGAAACTGCCTTAGCATATAACTTCAAAACGAAGTCATACTATCTAATTTTGATTGCACCGTCATTGTCAACTCGTTGAAGTACATAGGTTGAAAAAAAAATCAATATTCGTAATAAGTGCAGTAAACTAGTGAAGCACGAATGCGCAAAAATACTAAAATAGTGAATTTCATTAGGCTATAACTTCGGAACTAAGTCCGACCGACAAATTCTGATTGCACCATTGTTCTTAAATAGAATTCCAAAAAAAAAAAAATCGAAAAAATTGCATGGGGTGGTAAAGTGCATTTGTTCCTTTCTCTTTTTTAAGTTTGCTCGGAAGTGGATTCTTATATTTTTTATTTCGTTGCTAACTACAAATAAGTCAAGTCAAGTATTACTATGTATCATATTAATTATTATTATATTAACTAAAAATAAAGTCATAAATCTATTTCCGAGCAAACCTAGAAAATAAACTAACGAATACGCTCATCTCTTCAAAACTAATATCAGTCGATTGAAACAAGGTGAACTTTTATTCCTCTTTTGGTAGGTACTATTTACAAATCATAAAATTGAAATCGACATTAAATTTCTGCCATACAGCCGGAGAGAATTAATACATTCACATATTCGTGTTCATTGACTTGGCATGTGCGGGTGTTAGAACACTTAGAACATTTCTAAAAATCTATACGTACGATAAATATTACGACAATACAAAATAAATCGTAAATCCGGGAATTCAAATTTCTTCGAGAAAAGTGCTATAACAGATTACACATACTAATGTTAATTTACTCGACACAGCTAAAATGTACATGTAATATTAAATGCCTAAACATACTCCTTAAAACATGGTATGCTCCATCCCCCTTAAAATAAAAAATGCATCATTGTAAAATCGATGCATTCATGGCTCCGCTCAGAAATCAAAATCTAAAATCCAGACTGATAAACCGTCTACACTCAGAATCGTTTTTCTTATACAATGATAATATTATATCATTGAACTCAAGTTCAATACAATCCATTATTTTGACCAACTCGTAACCTACTGTACAGCAGAGCGACATCCACTTCCCTGCTTTTTTTTTGATAACGGCTGAACGTAATGATAAGCGAGAATTATATTACACGCAACCACAGTATTTAGACGCTATGTCGCCACCATGAACATTAGAGCATTCCTCTAATGTTCAACGAGCCTACAAATGCCATAGATCCGGTGGTAAGTATTACTGTTGCGGAGCCACTGTTGTTCATGTATTTATTCGATATCTACGTCGGTGATAAGATAACATTCAAATAATTACCGCGTGAATTTAAATATTATAATTATTATTATTATTTAAATATACAAGTAAATAACTCAATTGAGTATTGTAATTTTTATATCCTAAATCTAAATTATTATACATATAACAAAAAAAAAAAAAAAAATTAAGAATGATAATTCTAACACGTCTTACAAAAAAAAAAAAAATAATAATAATTTATTAAACTTTATCTAATACGTCCTACAAAATCCTACTTTTTTTTTTTACAGTTCATTATCCGAACAAAAAATCCTAAAATTAAGAAATTTTAGTTTTCTTTATTTTCCTTATTTCTTTATCAATTTCATATATGTCTTATCAGAATGAATTCATTTTTGAAAAATAACATTGTATTTGCATACCAATTTTCATAAATTATCTGTAATTTTTCGGTAAAAGTATGAACTAGGTACTTGTATAAAAGACCTTGTATTAAATTGTCTAGCCTTAGCTATACACATTTAATATTTTAAACATTTTGAACTACAAATTAACTGTGTTTTTGACGAAATTTGAACTTTAAATGCTTATAAAAAATAACCATGATGCCTATCATAATAATGTTCATTTTTTTTTCTCCAATTATTTTTAACGAAATTATAGCTCTTAAATATATTTATTATTTTAAAGTCATAAAAATCTTTCAAATTCATTAACAACGTTCTTTCCAAAAACTGCATAACAAAATATATTTACCTTACAGTCTTTATAAGGTTTTTTCTTCTCAGTCCGAGAGATGTTTTTAATATGTGCAATTCGAATGTGCTGCGCTTGACTATATTTGTTATAAAATATCTTTGAACACTGAGAACATTTCTAAAATATTCAAAATATAAACATAAAATTAGTTACTGACATCAAAAAGTATATACAACAAATAGGTACTGCAGTATAAATTCTAATTAACTTACAATAGAATCACTTTTGCACTTATGTAGAATTTCTATATGACGTATTAAAATGTCTTTGCGGTTGAACTTTCGATTACATTCATTGCATTCCTACAAATTTAAAACAAATAAATTTGTATCAAGAAAAAAATATATCAGAAGTTATAACTCTTGTCTCTTAAATACTTACGAATTTATTGTCAACGTCTTTATTTTTTTGGTGGTGAGTTGATTGATGTCGGCTTAAATTATATTTTTTGGTAAAATTTGCATTACATTGTTTGCAAACAAAAGACATATTATACAAAATAATTAATACTATACGTATATTACTTAAACTTTTAATAATTTTATGACAACTATACACTAGCAATAAAATAAATACCTGCAGCATTAATGTTCAGATACTACAGAGTACAGACTACACTAATACAAATTGTGTAGGTCGATATATGATGGTAATAATAATAGCAAGACAGGTCTTGACCCATATTCGGAGTGACATTTGATTATAATATAGATCATTGATATTAAACTATTAAAGATACAATTATATACAACGCGGGAATTCCTATACATGATTATTATTATTATTTTTTTTTTTGTAGCACGTGTTAGAATTATCATTCTTATTTTTTTTTTTTTTTTAGTTATAAGTATAATAATTTAGATTTAGGATATAAAAATTACAATACTCAATTGTATTATTTACTTGTATTAATAAATAATAATAATGATTATAATATTTAAATTCACGCGGTAATTATTTAAATGTTATCTTATCACTGACGTAGATATCGAATAAATACATGAACAACAGTGTGGCTCCGCAACAGTAATATTTACCACCGGATCTATGGCATTTGTAGGCTCGTCTAATGTTCATGGTCGCCACAGTACCATAAACTAGATAATACCCATAGATATATGATAACGTAAACACTACAATCAGCAAAATATCGTTTGCTTTCGTTATCACCGCGACACGGCGAAAACACGCTTGCAAAGTCTTGTTCTCAATCTATTATTTTAAATATTATCTACCTCTACAAATCTGTAATTTTCTAAGTCTGACTTTTCCTGCTAGTTAAATTGAAAAAAAAATGAAAGTTCCTTATGGATATTTTGACTTACGCGTAGAACGAGTTAATGATCACATTATCAATACTTTCATTGAATGTAAGTAACGTTTAAAATTGTACACTATGCAGCATATTATATCAATATCAGTGGATAGAACTTATAATATATCCTCGAGTCAAATTGTAGACCAAATTAGTTAAACTGATTTTACAATTGACACTAAATTAATAGAGCTTCAACTACTTTAATTGTGGACTAATATAAAAATTCTTTTTTTTTCAAGACATTGACCTTTCTTACTTTTTAATGCCGATTTTGGTTATATGTACTCGAACCTTCATAGAAAATGTAGGTATTTTTTTTTCAATGTAAGCATAAAGATAATGTGTTGGGAAGGCTGACGTTCGGACAAGTTCGGAATTACACTCCAATATGCCAAATGTCAATAACGACATGTCTCATGTATTTTACCCATATATTATAATATAGAAATAACGGGATTAAAACCTTTTAATTTGAAGTTGATTGAAATTATTGGACATGATGCTCAAAAAACTAAAAAAAGTACAGTTCCATTTAAAACAGGACATATTAATATGGTCAGTAGTGATGTGCTTATATGAGTTCTTATTCAAACATACATAATTAATAAAACTTATCTTTAAATGGAACTAAGTGACTGTAACTGTAACTTGTAACCACTTAAAAATATCCAAAGAATCTTAGGTATATTTGGTATTTGTCAATTGCATTGATTTTTCTAGACTACCTCAAATATATACATCTTTTGCATGAATTTATTACTAATTAAATAGGCGTACATCTATTGCACCAGGAAAATATTCACTATTCACATATTATAAGATAATATAACATAAACATTTTTTAGATATTTTATTTTAGTTTATTTTAATATAAAATATATTAATGTTAAAAGTTAGATTGTTTAATGTCTTACTCATAATAAATGAATAAAAAATAGTGTTGAAACAAATTAATCTAAAGTCTACAATATATCTTGAGATAAACGGTTCATTATTATATTCTATTATTTTTTTTTTAATGGTAACTTATAGCATTTTCCATCTGACTGCACTAGTGTACACTGGTCGACACCATGAATTTTAGCGGTGTGGAAAATTATGTGATACTATGATTGTAGTATCAGTGTTCGTGTGTAGTGTGCACAAGTTCAGTCAGATTGAAATCGCTATTGCTGACTTAACAACCTAGAAAATATTCATAGTGCCGTTTTAATATCACAGTATTATCTTCAATGTTTATTTTTTGTTTTTATATTTACTATTTTACATATTATTTTCTTTTTGAATGCTATTCATTTCAATATAATATATTAATTGTATTTGGATAAATTCCAAAATTTCAAATATATAAAAATATATGACTGTGTCGAGTAAAAGAATTTTCCGAATGCTTGAGTTAAGTAGTAGTAGTTATTTAAGTAGAGTTAAGTTAAGTTACTTCACTCACTGGCATTTGTAGTCCTTTCACTTGATATATTGTGTGATATCCAAATAAATCATGGAGATTGGGTCTTTGTCAATAATTGTACCAATCAGATAATTATAAATACGACTTACTCGCTCCTTCGTAGATTTTATATCCATAAAATCATTGCCAATTTTTCTGGTGCAAGTAGAGGTAATAATAAATGTATCCATCTTAACCATTGTCAAATGTCCCTTAAAATTTAAGTATGAATTATTTAAGTCTTAAATCATTTGTATACTTACCAGATAAATTAAAATGTTGAACTTTTCTCCACCATGGTTGAGATATATAACAACAGTCATATGAAATATAATTGCCAAACAGTAATTATAGCATTATGTAAATTTCTCAAATCGACATTACATATTTTTGAATGGAATTTAATCATTAATTTTGATTCACAAATATTAATTTAACCTTCTTTTACGGCTATTTCATACATAATAGTTTCTTTACTTGGTAAAAGAAAAAAATGTATGGAGATGTAAAAGATGTCTGTTATTTGCTGCATGTAAATAATTGATACAACAAATGGGCTGTAAGATAATGTTCCATCCATATTATATACGTTTTCAACAGATAAACTTCAAATTAATTACCAATATATTTTAAAAATAATTTGTTAATTAAAATTCTTCACTTCTATTTGTAATTGTTGTTATGTTCATTAAAGCTTTCTGAGTTTCTTGCAAATGGTTGGGTAATTTTAGTCTTGCTCTGTATAAATGTGGTCGATTATTTGCTATGACTTCAATATTTTGAGGTAATTTGATGACTTTTCAGTAAATATTTGCTTACTTATTATTTTAACAGATTTTCTATTAGGTAAATAATCCATAGTTTATCTTTCACTTGATTTGATATTATTTGTTATTGAAGGTCTTTAGGAGGTAGATGATTGTGCTCAGTTTCTTCTTTAAAAATTGTAATTTTACCCTCGTCGACATATAATTTAGTGTTTCTACTGTTTTCTGTAAACTGCCAGTTGCTTCCATTTTTAGTAAGTTGTTTACATAAAAGTTTATAATTTTGATAAAGAATTCGATCATAACAACGTTTATTCAAAAATATTTTTACCTTATAATATTATTGTCTTATCTGATTTTCGTTGATGGATATTCCGTTTTGACCAATTTATAATTTTATTGCATGTAGATAGCAAACAAGTATTCACAAATGATGTATAAGCCAGCACATATCTCAATATCGTTTAGCGCAGTTTATTAAATCATCATTAATAATATATCAATAAATACATGATATAATATAAAAAAAATTGAAAATTGAAAATTACAAATTTAGTTTTTAATTTGCTAAACTTAATTAAATTATTATATTTTTGGTATTTCAATATCATCTGGTGCAATTGTTTGTATAACCTTTCTTTTACATCAATACAACTGGGACAATTGATGTGTACCCTTTTTGATACCATAATTTTGTTTTACTTGTGATTTCTAGCTCTACAGAAATATGCCCTCTATATCTTGTATTTAAATATACAATTTGAATGTAACTAATCACGACTATTTAAATAATTTGCCCATCCCTGATTATAGCAATTTCTAATCTAAAATAATAAATAGTTTGGCATTATCTAATTTAGTATTAAAATGTTAGTTATAATTTATAATAAATGTTATGTTCAATTATCCTGTTAGTGCATTTTTATTATATGATGAGAAAATGTTTAAATGTATGAAATATTTGTTTACAGATGGGTACACTTTGATTGCTGTAAATACTACAGTTAACTGTTCATTACTAGGTGTTGGAAATTCTAATAGAAAAAAAAGAAAAGTTGATGAATGTAATGTTGAAAACAAAGAAGAAAATGATTGGGTGCCAACTCCCAAGTTAATAAATGTAATTATCTTATATTTAGTTTAATATTTATCTATAAATCTAATATACCATTGTATTTGGTATGACAAGTTTAAAATATGTAGTTGCTTTACCATAGTTTTAAAAATATTCTTATGAATTATACTATTTTTCATAATAATATAGACATAACGATAACAAAGAAATAATTATTATACTTCTCTACATTTATAATATAAAAGCTTGAAATTAATATATATATAAGTAAATGTTAGTTTGATTTTACAATATTATAATAAATTATAGAATGATGAAATCTAATTTATTTTAGCATGATAATTTCAAATTGAAAATAGTTAATCGATTGACAGTACAAATATCAAATATTGGACAGCTGCACAGAATTGTAAGTAATAAATATGTTACAGGTAAAATAGAAATTTGGGCAATGCATACAGTGCCATAATTTTGTGGTGACAATAGGAAAAGTGTATATTATACACAGTAACCAAATGAAGATTGACAAAGTATATTAAGTATAAAAATTAAAAATAGCTGTTTAATTTCAATAAACATAATAAATTAAAAAATATTTCTCTAAGCACTCCTAATATTATTTTTATATGAATCACTATATATTACCATATGTGAATCCAAAAGGAATAGGGGAGAGCAGTCCTAATCGTTAAATTATGATGATAAAAAAAGTCGAAAATAGTCGAAGATAAAAAAGAAATAAAATTTACCTGGTAGTTATTGGGAGTATTGCTGATACTGTAAAAAAATCTTTTGAATCTCCAAATGGAAAAATCCTGAAACCGCACATTAATGTTATATCTATTAAAATAGGCAAGGAATTTAGTATAAAATGCACACAAGTTTCCCAGAACTTTTGTAACTATACTTGTGTATTTGAATGTATTTTATACAGAGTTTTATTTTTATTCTTTTATGTGCAATAGTTATATCCTTGACTACCCAAATTGAAACATTGCTTCTCATAGACTAATTAGTATTTGTGATAGTCATCCTCAGTAATATAGCCATAACATCATATTTATTAATTAATTTGTTATAATTTAAAACTATTTTCATTTTCATTTTTGTATTATTCATTTTCACTTTTAATGAAAAAAAATACATATAATTTCATTCACGTTTAAAATGAGTTCATTAAATTTTACTTTATTTAAAAATACACCGTTGCGTTTATTTAAACATAAAAGTATTACATTTTTTGCTAAATATAATATTTTCCATTTTAAATTAGGATTAAACAAAAAAAATGTACACAGTGCACTGTTATAAAAATGATATTACAGTAATGTCTAACGTTTATTCATTCACTTTTTAAAATAATAATTTGATTCAATTCATTTGTTTATAGGATTCTAGCAGACTATACTATGTTTGGTAATTGCCTTAGTATGCTGATGAATTGTAAAAAATATTAGTCTTAATATTATAATTTTTGAATTGCCCTAATTGATTGGACATTTTTCACAATGTCCAACTTTCTATTTTATCCATAACATACAATAATTGAGCTGTTTACAAAATTTAATATATATTTGTTTTATTATAGTCCACTTCTCAACATTTGAAATCGTATAATATTCTTGCAGTAGAACCATTAAATGATCAAGTTTTTCAGGTATGGACTGTTATTATTTTGTTACTTTTTGTAATCTACATTGTTATCGTATAAATAATATATCATGCAAGAATCTAACGTATTCTGTTTATGTGTTCAGTGTTATTGTAAATAGCAACAGTTTGTTAAATGTTCTGGCCATAGAAATACAATAACAATAAAGTACTATTATTTTAAACATTATATTTAAAAAAAAATTTATTTGCTTGTTTGTCCAGTTGTAGAGAAAGATAATGAAACTTAATTTTGGGAGAAACCATCAATTATCTGATATTTTAGTAGGGGCTATCTGTTATTTTATTTATATGTAATATCAACATATGGTATGATAAATATAGTATAGTGTAGAGAGCCTTGATATAGAGAGAGTGGCCATTAATTGTCCAAACGTTTCCCGCCTTTTTTTAAAATTTAAACACTTCAGCTAGGGGAATTATACACTAATTTTTTAGCTTATAGCCTTATTATAGTTAGTGTTGTAAAGTATTTGAGCATTAGTATTCAAATACTTTTACAAGTATTGAATAAGTACATATTTTAAATACTGTTTATCAAAAAGTATTTAAGTGTATTTTATTCTATTGAACACTTTCCAATAAAATACTTTCTTTTCCAATTAAAACTATTTGGAATATATTATTAACTTAAAATGTATAAATAATTATGATAAAGTAATTTTTTTGATAAACATTAAATTGACATAATTGATGTAAGTATATATGTTTATAATTTGATAATGTGTTCACCAATATAATGTGTTGTTCTTTATTCCTATTATAAATTTGATATAATAGGTTTTCAAAACATTGGTTATAAGTAGGCCTGGATTTTTACAAAGATAAGAATTATTTTTGGGTTTCCATTTATCTCTTTTCACTTGAACAGCCCATACTGCTCGACGCTGTTTGTCTTTTGGAAACACTTTAAGTGTGAACCCTTTCTCACTTCTGTTAGAACAACCATATGCACAACAACTAGGCATTCTAATGTACCTAATAAATAACCACAATTAAGTAGGTATACATATAATTAATATTAATAACAAATAAACATATTTTATTGACATTAATTATCAACATAATAATATTAAAATACAAAAATTGAGTATTGGACCATCTACACAAACAGTATTGAAAGTATAACAAAGTGGAAGGTAATTACTTTTCAATAAAGTAATTATGAAATTATTCTGAATTATATTTCAGAAAAGTTAAGAATAATTTTAATAGAAACTAAAAAAAAGTAATAAATTATTAAAATTAATTCATATTGAACAATTTCAACACATAAACTAATGCATTACGTATAAATATTTGGACGATTAATAGCGTCCATAATCAATGATAACAGCCAGCCAATAGAAAACGTTCACCGAGTTAGCCACTCTCTTATATATCAAAGCTCTCTAGTATAGTGCGTTTTACAACAACTTCGACTAGACGCTAATGCGCCTATTGGTGTTTTTTCATTAGGGTTTCTAGAAATCGGCGCTTAAAAATGAGCAGCAAATTTAAAATTGATAAAGAAGATTTTTCAATACTAGATTGAAAACACCTGATTTAAGATAAAACTGCCACGAGGCGCATTAGCATTGAGTTGCAGCTGTTGTGAAACGCATTATAGTAGTCTAAATAAACATATTTTAATACTATTCAGAGTAAAAACATACATCGTCAGCCAACTCCTGACTATAGCGGACAAAAACTGGCAATCGCAAAGGTAAACTTAGATTTTGAGTAGGGTGTAAGAAAACTATCAAACTATATTATATAATATGTATTTTTATCTAAATGTGAGCTTTGGCATTTTAATGTTGACATAACAAATAAGATTGGTTGCTCTAAATGTATTGAAAGGAAATAACTTAACATAGAAATCGTTGAATATTAATAAAAAGTTACATATTTTACATTTTAAGAGGATGTTGTATCCGCATATTATGTTGTCTCGTCTTACTAACGCATAATATACTTAAATGTAGGCTCAATTGTTCAACGTTCACCAGTTTCAATATTGTGTTGTAAGCTTAAATATAAGACTATTGTCGTATTATAAAATTTAAAAGTAAACATTATAATATGTGTTCTTTTGTGGGTTTTTTACAATATTTTAATTTTAAGTGTATGATGAGCATTTTTAAATATTATTCATGCCAACAACACAAATGCTGGATGTACAGTTTAATATATTATGCGCTAATAAGACAATACATGCGGGTGCGACGTACTATTAATTTTTTATATTATATTAAATTGTGCCTAAAGAAAGTCGAATATGAACTACCTTTTATGAGCATTATGTATTCTTGTTGTGAAAATGTGTAAAATTTATTAAAATTTATATTTATGCTTTTGCATTGATATATTAAGTGTATGATTTTTTTATGATATGTATCTGCATCTATTTATTTTATTACTACAAATTTAAATTTTTAGGATATAGTGACTTCTTCATCGACTTCATCTATTGACATAATAACTTGTAATACAAAAATATCTATAACTCCAAAGCAATATACAATTGCAACGGAAAAAAACATATATTTTGAAGTATCTTACGCACCTATGTTGGCTAATTATATTGCTTGTCAAGATACTTTAAGTTTGGCTCATCTTTTTCACATGAAAGGAAAATCAAAAGTAAAAAAAAACTTTTAAATTAAAATGACTTTTTTTAAATGTATTTTTATTTCAGAATGTAATTGTTTCGAGTGGTGCAGTTAATAAATTAGACATACGTAATCCTCATGATGTGATGAATTTGTATCCTTTGAGTTAAAAAATTAAGTTTTTTGAAATGTTGGCGTTTAATTTTTGGAAATAGAAATAAGTATTATTTTGCAGAAAAGTTCTAAGTAGTACCATTAAGTATAAATTCTATAAATAGGCAATATTTTCATCAAACATTTTGATAAAAGTGTAACACAACACTTCATGATGATATGCAACCTATGCACATATTAAAGACATATTTTTAAGAACTAAGTATGCCACAAAAATGATTATTATTTGCTTTTTAAAATATTTTTTTGGTATTTGATAGTAGAAATATGCCTTTTATTAAGACTTATCAACATTGTTCAATTTCTTTGTGTTTTTATAAACTATATTTAAATATTTAAAAAAATATCTTTTACTTTACCACAATGTATTACATTTATGATATTATGAACTTTGTTTCTTTTACTATTCCATGACATTAGACATTTTATGACTACTATTAAAGATTCATTCGTAATCAAATATTTGATTATAATTTAAACACATTATATTTCTCTTATTGATTTTAATATAAAAAAACTTGACGAAAATTCAGAGGTATATTACTAGGTCTTTCAAGGAAACAGTCAAAAGAATCAATCACTCAAGGATGTTATTCCATTATATTACAAAGATGTGTGTTATAAATTTAATTTTTAAAGTATTAAATAAACAAATATAGTATGAATTATAAATTACAGATGAAAAAAAAAAATGATAAGTCTGCATTTAACACGCAACCAAGAAAAATAACATCATAATATTGTAAATAATTTATAAAATAAGACGTACCTATGTATAATATGTTTTAAAAATATCTTTTCAACTATACATTTTTATTTATTACTAAATGGTTTGTTTTTATTTTTAATGAAAAATAATTGTATTTTAGATTAATATAAATGAAGAACATATTTCCAGAACAAGAAGCATATTTGTAATTGCTTACAATTTTATACTACCAAGATTGTTAAACAATATATTTAATACATAAATTAATAGGCAATATTAATAATTAAATATCTTATTAATTAGCTTGTACAAATAAACATATCATATCATATCATATTATGATTAAAAACATACAATTTGTAGTAACAACTATTGTCTATTACAGCGGTTTTTAACCTTTTGTGGCACACAGAGACTTAGATCACTGAATTTATGAGAAAAAAAAATTAATTTTAATGACTCAATTGTTAACATTTTTTTACACAAAAGTTTCTATATTCATTACACACAATCCTAAAAATCTAATGATTCAATAAAAATAAATAATAATATATATTGTGTGTGTGTGTACGATCAGAAAGACAATAGTGTCGCGGAACACAGGTTTAGAACAGCAGGTCTATAACAAATTTAAAAAAAAAAATGATACGGTCATAATTATCCATAATTATTAAAGCTGTTGCTTTACAGTTGTAGAATTTCCCAATTCTTGATATTGTGATAAACTTTGTTTCATGCGATAATATTTTTATTGCATGAAAATAAATATTTGGTATTCTTGAATTTTGGCATGAGTAGTCAAACGAAAAACGTTAGACTATTTGTTGACTGGTAAAAAGTCTGCACACATTTTAGTCGCATGATTATCGCATACGTTATCAAACATTTAAGAAATGTGATATTAATTTTTGAAATTATTTAGTTGATAATTGATATTGTTTTGAATTGTTTTATTATTGTAATATTATTTTAAATTTGTACAATTCTCGTAATTCGTTTATAGTTTCTAATTTTAATATTTTTAAAATTAGGATTTTACTTCTGCTTATATCAATAATATTATTTTTTACAGTGGCTGATTACGATGAAATAGCAGTATAGTTTGTTGTTGAGGATGTTGAAGAACATGAACAATTAATTCACTTCATACAAACTCGAAATTAAGAAATTATAATGTATCCCTTCACATTAGATCTATTAACAAATTGAAATAAACTATTAAAATCTCATATAGGTAAAATGAAATAAAATACAATTAAGTTTAAAATATATATCCCAACCACAGTATACTCCACTGGTTAAGCGAGGGCGTTGCTGTAATAAACCAACCTGAAATATTTTATGATTGGGTTTGGTTCCCAAAGAACATTAATGAACTCACTAAAATCCTTAATGGGTAACTAATGTTTTTAATTATTTATTTATGAAAATAATAAATTAATAATATGATACCTAGGTGTTATTTATTGAATATACTTTATACAGTGTGTTAATTGTACCTTATTCAATCAATTTTAATCTGAATGACAACCAAAGTATTGATATATTATGTATTATTTGAACCATAATGAATATCACTTAATTAATATACAGTTGGTAAACGTTAAAATCTTATTAGTATACTATTTGATAAATATTATATGCATAAAATATATTAATAAATTATATTGTAAAAATAATATTTTTATTTTTCCCATTATAATTCCTATAATAACTATTTGTTTGATTGCAAAATATATAAATTAAATAAGTTCCAGTTTCCCCGGCTAGACATACAACAACAATAATGTTATAATTTCCACGAATTTGTAATAAACCTAATCGGTTTATCATAATAAGTACCCTAGTATTCCTTTAGTTTTATCGTTAGGAAATCCTTATCAAAATGTAACTCAAATAACGTGTCAGATATAAAAAATTAATTCTGATACTTTATAATTTGTGTATGCTCTGAAGTCTAAATTTTTTTTTTTTGGTTGAGTCGTATGTTTATGGGTTTTTAATTTTTATATTAACTGCAGGCTAACGATCCATTAAAAAAAATTAAATGAACAACCCAATGAACGCATTTGTTTTTTTTAAAAAAGGTGAACTTGAACGAGTTCATTTTTTAAGTGAACTTTCCGAACACTGATAGATATGTTAAACATCATTAGCTGCATGCTGCATGCTTGTATTTGTTTTTAACTTTTTAAGGAAAAGATTTGTATTACCATAACAGGTAGGTAATATAGCATCGTTTAAAAAAAGAAAAATATACTTGATGAAATTACTTCGATCACTATCTATTATCAAGGATGGACAACTTACGTCCATTTGGCGTATCATTTTTAACTGTCCCGTGCTAAATATCAAATTACCTTATTAAAATTCATTATTTCTTTCTTTTAATTTATTATATTGATACAATTATTAAATTTGTTAATAAAATAGATAATTAAATATAGGACTTATATTAAATACCTATACAATATATATAATAAAACCTAAATCATTCAATAAAAGTCCTATCTTTATGAAACCTTCGAGGATCGAAGCAGAAACGTCAATAGACAAGTTACCAGTTTTTAAAAGTTTATTAACTCAATATTAAAGGGGGTACATGTACATCTTGTGATCGAAATTTGAATTTTCAAAAAAAAAAAGTGCTCTGTTGTACAAGTGGGTCACTGTAAAATGGAGACGGTATTTCAGTCTAGGTATAAGACATATTATATACATATCTATGGTATTAAACAAAGAATTGACCTATAATAGGTACCTATAATAAATTCCAAATTAATCATATCCCAATATCCATTAGGTACTTATAACGCGTTATACATCAACAAAAACCTTGATACTATCATAGATATATAATAGTACACTTTAGAAGTTTCAAGTACCCACGAATAATATTGAATCACAACAAAGTACTGTACAGTAGTTTTTAGATTTTTTGGTTACAGTATGAACTATTTATGAGAACCTTTGTTTTAAATTTGCAATCCTTAGCTATAAAAACTGAACATTTTATAATTTATTAATTACAATGATTGATAATTTTCGAGATTTTGATACATTTTGTCAAAATTCCAACTTTAAATGCTTATAAAAAAAAATTGTGGTTATGTATTTTCAATATTTTTGAACTGATATTGTAAGAATATATCAGGAGTCTTGTATTCAATTTTTAATCTTTTTGGCCCAACAGAAAAGGCTTAATTGATATTTATAGAAAAAAAAAACTAAAAAGATTGAAAACTGAAAATGTCCGTAAACATCTCAAAAAGAGTCAAAATATTTTCAAAATTTTATGGTGTTTAGAAAATGCTAATTTAAACATTCAGTGACATTTTCAATTTTCATTTATCTACATTCATTCGTTTTTGAATTACAACAAAATAAGGAAATCGCTACATGAGAAATCGAGTGAATATCCAATGTTGTAAAAATTTGAATTTCAACGAATTTCAAACGAAATTACATATTAAAAAACCTAGTTATTTTGTTGTGATTATATAATATTATTCGTGGGTAGGTACCTACTTGAAACTTCTAAAGTGTACTATTATATATCTATGATAGTATTAGGGTTTGTTATTGATGTTGATGTATAACGTGTTATAAGTACCTAGTAAGTACCTACCTACCTAATGGATATTGTGATAATGTGATATGATTAATTTGGAATTTATAATATGTCAATTTTTTTTTTAGATATGTATATAATTTGTCTTAAACCTAGACTGACATACCGTGTTCGCTCAGAATCGTTCTTCTTATACAATGATATTGTATCATTGAATTCAAATTTAATATCATCCATTATACAGTGACCCACTTGTAACCTACTGTACAGCAGAACGACATCCACTTACCCACCTTTTTTTAGTTTTTTTTCTAAAAGAATCAATAAAATTGTATACCTATGTTGGTTGCGAAAGCTTGAAAATTTAATAGAAGGCTCCTAATATATTGTTTCAAAGGCAGATGAATAATATTAAAAATCCTTAGTCACAATTTTTTTTATAATCATTTAAAGTTCAAAATTTGACAAAATATGGAAAAACAGGAATATTACGCAAAATCAGTTTTCCAAAAAATCGATTTTGGTTTTTGATGTAACTCTAAAACAATTGAACGTATATGCATGAAATTTTCACTGGTTGTTTATATTTACATTTTCTATACACGATAACATTTTCAAAACATTTTGATTTATTTTGAACTGTTTAGGGACATTTTCATTTTCCATTTTTTTTTAGTTTTTTTTCTAAAAATATCAATAAAATTTTATTTGTTCGTTACGAAAGCTTGAAAATTTAATAGAAGGCTCCTAGTACCTATATTGTGTTAAAGGCAGATGAAAAATATTAAAAAACGTTAGTCACAGTTTTTTTTTTATAAGCATTTAAAGTTCAAAATATGGAAAAATCACGAAAATTAGCAAATTATTTTGAGTTAAGAATTCGTAAAAATTTTTCTTTTTAAATCTTAGATTTGAAAATGTAATACAAGATTCCAAATAAGATTATCTACCTTTATCAAGAAATAAATGTCTATAAGAAAGTCAAATTAAATTTTTATGAGCGTTTGAAATTCAAATTTTTACAACATTGGATATTCACTCGTTTTCTTATGTAGCGATTTCCTTATTTTGTTGTAATTCAAAAACGAATGAATGTAGGTACATGAAAATCTCACTGAATGTTTAAATTAGCATTTTTTATACACCATAAAATTTTGAAAATATTTTGACTCTTTTTGAGCTGTTTACGGACATTTTCAGTTTTCAATTTTTTTAGTTTTTTTTTTTTATAAATATCAATTAAGTCTTATCTGTTGGGCCAAAAAGATTAAAAATTGAATGCAAGACTCCTGATATATTGTTACAATATCAGTTCAAAAACATTGAAAATACATAAACACAATTTTTTTTTATAAGCATTTAAAGTTGGAATTTTGACAAAATGTATCAAAATCTCGAAAATTATCAATCATTGTATTAAATAAATTATAATATGTTCAGTTTTTATAGCTAAGGATT